GCGTTGGCAGAAAGGTGCCGTGCAGCCTTTGTCGCTTTTTAATTGTCGCTTTCTAACCGCGAGAGCCTCAGGCGTTGGTGCTGGGAGTTTGAAGGGGGGGACAATCAGGAAAATGTTCGGGCTGGAATCACCGTCCTTATATTGTCAGCGGTTGAAGCTCCCAATCTGGGTTTGGTTAGAGGGTCAACGTCCCGTTTCCAAATCCCTGGTTTTATTTGGTCTTCTTTTCAAGCGAGCTTCTTGCTTGCTGCTTCCGTCCTCTTTTTTTTTAAAAAAAGGTTTATTTTAATGCAAAATTTGCAACACTTTCTCGCAAAGTGCCTTCGGGAGGAATTATTTGCTCAGCTGGCATGCAAAACCACTTCTCCGCCCCCAACCTCCGGTTTATTTTGGAATTATTTTCCCGCCGTCCTCGCTAACACCCGATCTTGGATTTGCGGTTATTTTTCCAAGATTTGAAACGAGCCACTTTCACGGTTCAGTTTTGTTTGCCCTCCGGTTCTAAACCGGCTCTCGTTTCCCCTCCCCCCCCTTCACTTATTTACATTTTAACCTATCTTGCCAAGAAGATAAATAATTGAAGTACCGTAAATAATTGAAGATCGGCCGCCACCCTGCCTGAGAAAATATTAGCTAATGCTAAGTTTCTCCGGGATGAGGTTGACTCAGAAGGAAACGAGGCTTAAAAAAGAAATTTTATTTTAAGCCCCGCTGGTGTTCGCTTGCAGAAACAATGGGACTCCCTAAACACCCAACGGGTGAATTTATGGCGTAGAGGTTGCACTTTGCACACACACACCCGCCACCCGACGGTTTTCCGATATATGGGATGCGGGAATCTTGAGGCCAAATAAATTCACCCTGGGATTTTAGGACCTGTTGGCTTTGCTCAGCTTTGCCAGACAAAAGCAGAGGGTTTTAGCCGGGGCAGCTTTTTGAGAAAAAAAAAAGAATCAAGGGGATCAATCACACACACACACACACACACACACACACCCCACACACACAGGCCGAGGCCTCTCGTTTCGTAGCTTGGGGTTCAAACTGCCAGCTTCCTAATGCTTCTTGGAAGGGCCCCAGGGCCTTTAGAAAGGCGTTTAATGAAAAATAGAGGTCTTTGTAGAATTGTTAAAATGGCAGAATGCCCAGTAGGGAGAAAAGGGGGGGGCAGGCGGGGGGGGGGGGGCAAAACCAGGCATGGTATAAAAGATTCCAGTGTTCCCCATTTTAAAAGCTTTTCTCTCCGGAGCAGGACTGGCCCAGCCTTGTGAAGAAAAGGGGGGGAGCGCCCGCTGGCATGGAAGTCGGCCGGGTAGCCCGTTTTTTCTTCCTTTTCGGCATCTCTGCCCCCAACGGCCCCCTTTCCCCCCCCCCAGCCTCCCCCAGTCCTGCAGGACTCCGGGCATCTCCCCGATGCTGCCCTGAGTCATCCCCGGGTGACGGCAAAAAGCCGATCTCCAACTTCCCTCTTTATGCCAGAGCCGAAAACGCCCTGTAGAGATCAGGACGGTGTGGAGGAATACAGCCTCCGCCTGCCTTGCTTTGTGGCCGTCGTATCGGGCAGCTCTCTGGCCCAGGTGGGTGCCGAGGGGCAGGGGAGGGGCTCCTGCCTCTGGCTTGTTCAAATCTGGGCTGCGAAGGGTTTGGTTAAAAACGGAGCAGGCGGGGGGTGAGAGTTTGGGCAGAATTCGCTCTGATGCTTGGGCGGGGGGGGTTAGACTAGATGACCTAGAAGGTCCCTTCCAACTCTTGTCAATCTGTAATGTTTTAATCCTCTGCAAAGGAGACTATTTATTTCATCTGGAGTAAAAGGCTTACCTGGGAAAATATGGCCTATCACGCACGAGGGAACCTCCGCAGTTAGGAACAGTCTACCTTTAAGCCCCATTTCCTGTGTGCAAGAGAAGGCGGTGGTTTTTTTTTTTTTTCCCACGATTAGCTTGTGGATTCTTTTAAATGGCCCCTGTTTGGTTGGTTGAGAATCTGGGTCCTCCGGAAGGGTTCTCTTCCACAGTGGAGCTTCCATGTTCAGGGTCACTCTACCTTTTGTGTAGCTGGCTGTTGAGAATAACTAGCAAGCTTTGGTTTCAAAAGAAGAGGATATTGGTTGCTCGGGGTTGAAATGAGAAGTCCTTGGTGCTCTCTGAACCGGGTGGTTTTCTTGCGGACGTCTCATGACCCAGCTAGGTAACATCATCAGTACACCGGTTTCCAAACGGTGCCGAAAGCTTTCCAGATTCCCACAGGGTCTTGGGGAGGGGAGGGGGCATACGTCTCCCCCACGTCCCAAGATCTTCTGAACCCTTTTCTGGGCTTCTGGCTTTTTTTCCAGGTCTGCCAAGCCTTGGAGGGCTCTACCAACCCGTCCCTCGGCCTCTCCCGGCTGGAGACTCCCTGCCCCGCCGTCCGCGCCTACCAGCAGGGCAACATCGGCGCCTCCCGCAAGAAACTCCTTCCCATCGTCCGAGAATTTCTGCACCAGTGGGGCCGATCCACTCAGACCACCGGCCCCGGCATGCAGCCGGAGATCTCCAGTTGCGTCCCCCCGGCCAGGATGGATCCGCAAGGCGCCGGGAGGCGCGATCCCAGTGGGGCCAAGGACGCCCCTAAGGCTCCCCGCCTGAGCGAGGAGGCAGCCGAGGAAGACACCCTGATGCCCCCCACCCCCATGAACAGCCTGGTGGACGAGTGCCCGCTGCACCAGGGCCTCCCCGGCGTCTCGCCCGAGGCCATCTTTGAGAGAGTCAACCGCATAGCCACTGACCGGTTGTTGGACGGCCGCAGCCCAGAAAAGAAGAAGTGACCGCCAAATCCAGGGAGGGGAGGAGAGGGGAGGGGTCGTCGCTGGGGGCTTCAAACGCCAGTTTTTGAATTAACTGGACACAATCTGCCATTCATCCCCACTGCAATGGATAGTGGGGGGTGCTGAACTCGGCATTTGCGGCCATTAATTGGGGTGGGGGGTGGGGGGGCGTTGAGATTAAACTGACCAACTGCAAAATTGCAGAATTCTGATTCTCGAGGGAGGGGGAGAAACGTGTTTGGGAAACCTCAAATCCTTTTTTTTTTTCTTCTTCTCCTTTTTTTTCCTGGTGCCTCCTTCCAAATTGTCCCAAAATGGATTGGCGGCCAACAGGAGATTTTTCCTCAGAAAGGCTTTCCTTGGTGCTTGTGGGAAGGGGAGGGGGGAACTTAGGTCAGGCGCGGTTGAGGCTAGAGTTCCAGAGCTGCGTTTTTATTTTTATTTTTTTGCAAAAAAAACAGAAAAGCACGAATCATCTCGCCGAACCCCCGCGTGCATGCATGGAGTGTAAAACGTTGTGTTCTTTCGCAGCTGAGCGAAGGCCTGTGAGTTTTTGGCTAGGCTGAATCCTGTAAAGCGGGGGGTCCAAATTTGGCAAACTTTTAAGACTTGGGGAATTCTGGGAGGTGAAGTCGCCAAATCTTAAAAGTTGCCAAATTTGGAGACCCCCCTGCTGTACCACAAGACGTGGGCTAAATTCCTCAATAATGAATAAAATCGCTCATCTCTCGTTCCTTAAAATGTCTTCCTATGAATGTGTGAGCAGTCCTGTTTTTTAACACTTGTGCAGGTTTCACAGCATTTTACGATCCAAGTCAGGAGGGTTTTGCACAAATAGAGATGTTCTATTAAGGTAGCTCCTAAGGGGGAGGGGGGCTTTTGGAGCCCCAAAGCCATGCACCCCACTTGCACACCTGGGCCTACCTGGGCTAGGCAGATGGAGAGGTTCATTTGGCTCTCAACGAAGGAGAAAAAATAAAGCGATTTTTAGACATGCAAACTACTGGAGGAGCGGATTTCTGGTTGCTGGGAGCAGACCTGACGTTGTGTAGAAACACTGGGTCATTCCTAGTGTCACGTCGGTGTAAATTGTGACCGGAGCCACAATCAGCTGTGTTTTGCCCTCTTGGTGCCACCACAAAAGTGAAAGTCTCAGGCCTGAATCGGGCCGCTGTCCCTTGCTCCTGTTCGCCAAAGGTCGACTGCCACTGAAGCTGGGTGGTCCTCTTTCCTTCCCTGTTGGGTTTGAAAGGAGGAAGTTACCTCCCGCTAATTCAACCGGTAAAGCACAAACTCTTGTGTTCGCACATGCACCAGCCTGACATCGATCCTGCTCCTGTATTTATCCACGTTTCTTTTCTCCAACCTGCGTGCGAGTTCAGCCCATTTGGGGTTATAGCCTGTCGACATACCTTTGTGGTTGAGTGCGATGTGCGAACCCAGGCGAAGGTTGCCACGAACAAAACTGACCCAGTGGAAATGGGATCCCTCCGGCCCGATTTTGATTTCCCGTTTTGGCTTCCTTCGCCAAAGAGTTGAGGGCAGAAATGGTATGTTCTTCCCTTGGATATTTTTATTTATATGTTTGCAAATATATATATATATATATCGGGGTTCCTGCCCATAAGGGCCAGCCTGACCTCAATCGTCCTTAGCAAATAAAAATGTGACAATGGCACAAAGATCATATACCCCATAATAATCCCTAGGGAACACTGAAACAGCACTTGCACAACTAGCACACTGCCCCAGGGGTGTGCAACTGTGGCGACTTTTAAGACTTACGGACTTCCAAGTCCCAGGTTCTGGGAGTTGGAAGTCCACGATTCTTAAAAGCGGCCCTAGTTGAAACCTCCTGCTTAACACCCATCAGCTAAGTTGGCTACCAATGTTGGCACCTTCTCCCTGCGTGGCATCCCGATCCTCAAAAGTTCCACTCTACTAAAAGCCCCATCATCCCCAGCTGACTGGTGACTGCTCTTCCGGGTGCTTTTTCTCCGGGCATTAGGACCCAGCCGTCCTCTGCCAAACTCCCCAAGCAGAAAAACCAGTTTGGGATGCGCTTCCGCCGGCATATCCACACCTCCAGGGCTGTGGTGCGAGTTCGGGCGTCCGTCACACAAGCAGGGGAGGCTGGATCTGCACCGGGCTGGGCAAACCTCCCCTGCCTCCCAATGGGTTCCTTCGTGGGAGACGGCAGGACCCTTCCCTCGGAGAGGTGAGTCCTTACCACGGGGTGGGGGGTGGGGGGAGGACTCTGGAAGAGCGCCCCTTCTCACTCAAACCAAGGAAAGCTTCCTTTACCCTGGCCAAATGTGTTCACAACCCCCCTGCAGGGTTGTAAACTCCTCTCTAAGCTGGCACCTGGCCAGGAGGGGACAAGCCCCTGATCCTTCGGATGTTGGTGGGAATTGTAGTTCAGCCGCAACTAGGATGTAACCAGGTTTTCTCTGTCTTCTGATTGACAACCCAGTGGGATCCGATCTTTCTCTCACCTTTTCATGAGGAAGAAAAAAAATTCACTATCCAGGCTAAACCTTCCGAAACATAAATAAACTGAAGCTGCCTCGCTAAAGAAGGCAAAAATCTACTGTGCCCAGGTAGTTACCCAGGCCCTCTGCAAACATTAATTAAATTATTTTTTTTTTAATCTTATTTTTATCATTGTGAGTTAAACATCTCCTTCAAGCCAAGCCAGGAACTTGTCTAGGGTTTTTTTTGAACCGGAAAGCAATTTCTCGTTGTTGTTTTGATCTTCCTTCCTTCAGTTTTTTTATTTTTGGGAAGTTTCCCTTAAAGTTGAAATCTCCCGGTGGTCTCCCTCCAACCTGCTTCGCTTTCCCAATCCCCCTGAGGTGTTGCTATCCTTTTGCAAAGCTTTTGGGTGTTGGAAACAAGTGCCGCGAGAACTTGGCGCTGACGTTAAAGAGTCACCACCCGTCTCGCTGTGCTGTAGATTCTTGCGCCCAGTTCAGGGATGAGAAAAACCTGGAAAGGCTTCAGGGCCTGGATCTGGTACCCTGAAACCAGCCCAGTGTTGGCCCCGAGAGTGGGGAGGCAGAGACGGAGTTTTGAGCTGGAGGAAGTTTGCTCACCTTCCGCAGGTGTAGCTGCTATCGCAAACACTCTGAACCAGCTCGTTAACCACGGTTTGGACGTCATGTTTGCCTGCTGGCAAAGCGCCTTTTAAGTGATGCTGGGTTTTAATTTCAACCCTTCCGGCCTTCTGACCATCCTGTTGTTCCTGAGTCACAGACACCGCCTGAGGCCTCTATGGAAGTGGGGCTGCCTCCATCCAATGGACTAGTATCGTGCGAACGCAACCTTCACGTACAGGATGAAAGATCTGGATTTTGTCTCCACTGCAGGGCTCCAATTCACCTTCACACGTTATTCCCCCGCCCCCGATGGTTCTTCTGCAGCTGGGCAAGGCACCAACTTCCAGCTGTTCAATGCCCCCAGGTCTGGAAAGGAAGAGCCTTTCCTTCTTGCCCTTTAAGATCAACTGCTGCTGAGGCTGGAGGTTCTATACCTCTTGAAAAAAAACAAAACAATTCTCTCTTTCGATTTCTTTCACTTCCTTCAAACAATTAGAGAGGGGGGGGGAGAGTAGAAGTGAAAATGGCGGCACAGGTTTGGGAGGGACGTTACAGGGGGAGCTTTCCAAGCTCAAAGAAACCGCCAAAGTTTTGGAGAGTGGACTCAGCCCCACAAGAATACCAGAGTTGGGACCTTGGAGGTCTTCTAGTCGACCCCCCCCCCCGCTCAGGCAGGAATGAGATGGTTGGTTGAGGAAGGGG